CAACCTGTCAGAAAAGTTTTTGCTCAAACAATTTAGCAAGTGGCTGTTAATTATATGTCTTTTAGCTGAAAAGAATGTGAGAGGCTTTTAGACTGTCAACAAAACAACTTGGATGTTCCCCTCCAATTCATCTTGGCTATGGTTTTTATGTTTGTGTGAAGTATACTACAAATCAGGAAAAATAACACAGGAGGCAAGAGGTTGGGAATATTACTTCATTAAACTCTCTTGCTTGTGGAAGCATGTTCAAACCAGTGGTCCCATCTAGAACTAGTAGAATCTCCTGCAAATAATAGGAAACGGCAATACACAAATCCAAATTGAATCACAAATCAGAATAAATTTTCCTATTCAAACCATTTATGCATTATCCAAAATCAATAATCAGAAACGTATTAGAAAACTTGCATTAACTAATCCTATGGACCAGATGGGATAGAGATTTAAAGAACACCAAGATTCATTAATGATTATGCTTGAAATTAAATTATTTATAATTTGAGAAACCTGTTAACAGATAACCAAAGAGGATGGTCCTTAATGACAGAATTTAACTCACAGTAGCTGCCAAATAAAAAGCAAGAAATTCACTGTTTAATCTATTGAGTTGGACAGGATGTGTCTGTATGCCACATATCCCAAAATTACTTCAATGCCAGATGTTAAGGTAACAAAGAGTAGAGCTTACATTAGGTGCGCCAGAAACAACTTTGCCCACAGCTTTCTTACATGCTATCAACTCTTCCATCAGGCTATAGTTAGTGTGGAGGCCTGATAATCAATAAAGATTCTGTTTACAATTTACCAACTAAGAAGCAAATAACAGTATATATGAATAACAGTGGAACCTCTCTGTACTTACGTCCAGATGTATCACACAAAACAATATCAAAACCCTGTTCTTTCCCTCGTTTTACAGCCTGTGAAAGAACTATTCAGGAAGCACTTTAAGATTATATGTTAGTAATTACACCATGTCCGAGATTTTTCGATGCCACTATAAGAATAAAAGCAACAAGATTCCACTAGACATTTTTTTCCTACCTGATGATGCTTTAGCGTTTTCTTTTTCAGCCACAACAATCTCACAGCCAGTCCTCTCAGCCCATATCTCAAGTTGATCGCTAGCAGCTGCTCTAAATGTGTCTCCTGCTGCCATCAATATCTGGCAGAGTTCTAAACCATAAGGTGATGGAGATTACAAACACTACTTTTAATTGAGACATGCTCTTTGAAAGTAACAAAACAAAATAATAGTAGGTCTTCAGAAATAGACTTCAGATCCAGTTCCTCCATTATTTCTGACTGCCAAAATACAAGCTCCAAATATCCACCAATTTTGCAAATGCAATATCAGATACCAGAATAGACTCTGAAAACATAATGTATTTTCCTGATATACTTGGAAATATAATCTTAAAGGTTTGATGTCAAGAACATTAATCTCCGCACCATAACAGTTCTATGACTTCAAGTGGTTGACAAAAACTATTTTCCTACTATACTAGGTCCATACAAGAACATCAAGAGGAGGAGTTATAAGAACTTCGTTATTGCAGATGAAATTCTAGATTTTTTCTTTTTTCTCATGCACGATTTGGATAGATTTATCAAACTGCAATAGAAGCAATGCCAAGCAATAACATCTCACCTTTGCCCCTTCATTCTTTAATCTATAAGCCAGCTTTCCTGCAAGGGGTTGGTCAGATCATCATTTTCTTGTTATAGAAAATAAGGCATAATTTGCTTGCTAACACAGAAAATATAGCAATCCCTATCCCTACTCTACAAAAGTTGCATATTTCATAGAAGAAAGATTACAAGAAACTGCATATTTCAACTAGTTTTAAAATTTCTATTTGAATAGCAATCTATATTGTGACTCACCGAGTGATGTAGTCTTTCCACCTCCATTAACCCCAACAATCATGACCACAGCTGGTTTCCTAAACATCAAAAAGTACCAAAGAGTAAAGAACAACTTCATATAACCAAAACAAAACAACACAAAAACAAAAGCCTAAACTGTATTCAGAACCTGAAACCAAGTTGAAGCTCTGTCTTGTTCCCTTTCTTAGTCAAAAAATCCATCACACTTTTCTTCAAAGCTTCCTAATTTATAATAATAACAATAATAAAGTACGCCTGATAGTGCAAATAATAAATAAATATAAATAAAATATAAATACCTTTATTTCACTTCCAGACTTGAGCTTCCCTGCCAGTATATCCTCTCGCAGGCTCTCCACAATCTTAACAGTAATTCTTGGCCCAAAATCAGAAACCAACAAAGCCTACAACTCAGAAACAAGTAATTCACTTTCTTTTCCCGAAAAAGAAATTTGAGGAGAAAACGATAAAGTGGAACAAAATTGAAACCTCTTCGAGTTCGTCGAGGACTCGGTCCGTGTCAGCGAGGTTCCAGTAAAGCAGGAGCTCGTCAATTACGGCGAGGTTGTCTCTGGTTTTGGAGAATCCAGAAAATATCTTTTCCACATCACTCTTTGCTTTCTCCTTAATCAACCGACCCAGTCGGGTGAAGAATCCGGTCTGACTCGCCGAACATTTGAACCGGTAAGTTGCCGGTCGAGTTGTAGTGGGAGGAGAGATTCGTGTTTGAGGGATGACGAAGCCATGGTGTGGTTGTGAAAGTTTAGAGATGAGCGAGAGATGTGTAGTTGAAGCCATTTCTCTCTTCCGAAAGAAGTGTCAGTCACTGGATAATATGATTTGGAACGATGTCGTTTTTCCACCCTTAATAAAACGAAACCGTTTTTAAGATTACTCTCAAGTTTCAATGTCAGTGTCAGTAGACAACAGAGTCTAATCATCTTAAAAGATAGATAGTCCCAGATTTTTTTTATTGAAATTTTTTAGCAAAACTAAATTGGAATATTAAGTTGTTAATTATCTTCTTGAAATCTGATTATATTTTGGTATAACTATAAATTTGGAAGAAGAGAAATTAATTCAGTTCTTCTTCTTGTACCAGAAATTAAAACTGTACTTGAGTTGGTCGTCTTGATCTTGAAGATTCAACTATCCGTGTTGATCTGTGTATAATTCTGTAGCTCTTACATATGTCTTTCCTGCAGCAGTGGGCTGCTCAGTTTTTGCAATGATATTTCCTTTAGGAAAATAATAAAGCCACCGATGATAGTGTACCGAATTTATATACCGAATAACGTGATAAAATCTTGACCATTGATTAATTTTAATTTAATATCAATAAACAGTCAAGATTTTATCACGTCATTCGATGCATAAATTCGATGCACTACCATCGGTGACTGTAGCATTACTCTTTCCTTTATCCGGAAAAACTGTAAGTAACAATAGATGCTGGTCAGCAAGAGTCAAGAAGGAACATGGCAGGAGTGTTTTACCAGCAAAGTAGATTTACCTTAATTGATGATGAAATGGAGGAAACTTTCAATGTGAGATGAAATTCCTGTGTATGGAAGATTCCAGCCACATGTTTGAGAGTTGCCCAGAAATTAATGAAACATGCGGAAACTCACCCGCAGACTTCTTTCAGTAGACTAGGAATAATTAAACAAAAGGAAAATAATACTCACGGTAATACATTGAATGACGCAATAAAATTCTAATCGTTGATTAATTTAAATTTAACATTAATCAACGATCAAGATTTTATTACATTATTCGATTTATAAATTTGATGTACTACCATCAATGACTGTAACATTACTCTTAAACAAATCACGCACTTGCGCTAGTGGTGTTGAAGCCACATGCTGCTTATTTTATCCAAATCCAACCACCATTGACTTAGTCAGTCGCGTATTATATTTATATGCAACAGCTGCTTTTCTTTCAATTTATTATGTAATACGTTTGCAATTGCGAAGTGGTGATGATGCTTCTCTTCGGTCGCATACTTAGAAGATTTTATAATGTAGGCCCATTACCCATAGGACAATCAAAGAGTTATTGGTTCGGTTGTTGATCAAATCAAAAGGTTAGTTAAGAAATAATAAATATTTTTTCCTATGGATTGTTCCACCCAACACGGTGCGGCAAGGAAACCCGATCGTGACTCAAGAGTAACGAGTCTAAATGAATACACTAGTGATTAGCCGCCAAACACAGGAAAGACCCGTAACGTGCAGCATTACTCTTTTTTTTTTTTTTTATACTTAATTAAAATTATGGGTTTAACTATTATGAAATTAATATTGTAAAAATGTATTTTATACATTTTAAATTACAAATTTTAAATTACTATTAGATATTGATACAATGCTTTTTTTTTAATAATCAAAGTGTTTTTGGATTAGTTTGGGCAAATCTCAACTAATCCTTAACATCTATTGAACGTCCTATAAATTTAATATGTAAATAAGTCAACCATTTTGTGAGATTTAAACATAAAATCTTTAGATAATTCATATAGATAGCATATTGATACAATACTATAATATAGTTAAGTCATTTAATTTTTTTTAAAAAAAAAAAACTTAACCATGGAGAGGGAAATTTTTTTTATAAAAGAAAAAAAATTGCATCTAACGTTAATATAAAAGATGAGGAATAAATGGAATTGGACTTTATGGATATTATTAAATTAAATTAATAAATTTTGTACACTGCGGAATAGTATAATATTATTACAAATTATAAATTGGACAACAGAAATTGGAATTGTACTTCCTAGGATAGTTGGTTGAATTTTCCCCAAACAGATCTACACGCCACGTTTGAATTTCTGAACGATTTCCCCGGAATTCTCTAATTATAAAATGTTTCTACAGCGCAGTAAGACAGACCCACGACCACGAGGGTGGAGTCAAACTTTACGTTGCCCTGTCTTTTACGACATTCATATGTCATTTCACCGTGTATAAAGGAGATCGGCTGCATAATAGTACTTTTCTTTTAAAACGGTCAGAATTATTGAACTACAGAAACAACGTATCTATTTCTCTTGCCTTTCTGGTGACCTTCCATCGCCATCAATATAAAAGCATAAGCTCTCTATTTACTTGATTTCATCAATTCAATTTCCTAAACACACACATAAGCCCTCTATTTACTTGATTTCATCGATTCCATCTCCCAAACATACTCATAATTACGAGTATATTGTTTTGTGCTTACGTTGCATTACAGTACCGGTTCAAATATGGAGGCTTCGTCTTCTCGCACGGTAGAAATCACAGTCTTATCTGCGGAAAATCTCCGTCTTAATAAAAAACTGGTGACAAAGAACACATTCGTCATCGTCCAAACTGATCCTTTCAACTGCCATACAACAAGAACCGATACGCTAGGAGGAGGGTATCCTTCATGGAACGAGAAGCTTGTTATCGACTTGCCCATGCATGCACGCTATATCTCTTTAGAAGTACAGACCAAGAGTTCTTCAGGGAACAGAAGTATTGGATTTGCGAAGATACCAGTATCTGATTTTACTGGAGGGTATGTACCAGAGAGTTATTTGCACTTTTTGAGTTATAGATTAAGGGATGCTAGGTGGGAGAAGAATGGGATAATCAATGTCTCAGTGAGAGTAAAGACGCCAGGATACGCAAAGAGTTCGTCTAAAACAGGATTGAAGGAGACAGAATACCCATCGTTTTCGTCGCAAGCTTCAAATAAAAAAGTGCAGGGATATGGGTCTTGTTCATTACAGGTTACAAGGCCGAATGTGCAGGGATATCCATCGTTTACATCGTCGGTCACAGGGCCAAATGTGCAGGGATATGCATCGTTTTCATCTCAGGCACATTTAGGAGTTCCGGTTGGTGGAGTGGTGAGGGGTGTACCTGTTTGGGGTACAAATCGTGCATAAATATTATTTGATATATCCAAGGGATTATGAAAATTGAGAGGCCTATATACATACATACGTACAACAGCATATGAAACATAAAGATTTATTTTTATTTTTCGACAAAAGGATTGATGATTGTAATTATTTTACAGAAAGGAATTCTAGCTATTGCTGGACTGCATCTGTAATTGGTGTCATAATTGTTTGCGATTTCTGCTATGTTAACAAATTCATTCTTAATTATAGATGCTGCCTATGTTTTATTGCATGCAGTTTGGATGGTATGAACTTTGGCCCAATGAAATATTTTCTCTCACCTTTTATCAGTTATTTAAAAAAATTAAATGGAGGGGAAAAGAGACAGCCAGACAGGAGAGCATCTAGAGAATAGTGTTCATGCAGAATTGTAATAGTGGTGGTATTGTTGCAACACATGACATGCTAAATGGAAAGTTGACAAAGTCATAATAACATGCTAAATAAAATAATGTTGACTGACTGACATAGTCAAAGCTGACTGACGTATTCCCCTTTACGTTTATGATGATGTCGACAGGATGAAAATAATCATCGGTTGATTTTTTTTTTTTTTTTGGTTAAGGAAATTCACTATATAACATTGATCATGATATTAAAATTATACAAGTACCCTTGAACGAATTTAAGTTTAGTGAAATTGGTTTTGTTGTGGTAATATTATAACGATTATCGTGTGATATTTATTCTTCTTTTAAAAAAAAAAAATGGCCTCAAATTAATAATTATACTTCGTTTATAAACGTGTTTTTCATGAGGACATCCTCGTATAGATTACAGACCGACCCTAGTTTCGCACGAAATCACTGGCAAACAGACTGTAGTGCATTTGAATGGGTCGGTCAAAAGTAATCCTAACTTTAAGCCACATACAAGTGGCATCCCATCTTAATGAGACCTGGAGCCAGCAAGGCAATAACGCCCAAAGAAAACACGTTAGCTGAGTAACATTAATCATGAAATAGGTAACCAATAAGTCGATAACCCCAACTAGTACGAAAAATAATTATATAAATTAGTATTATTAATATAGAAAGAGTAACCGATCATTGCGGAATAAGTTGTGTAATGACAAATGTATTGCATACAAATGGAGCAGATCGTATTAAAATGTTGATATTTGATTTTAATACAAATAATTTGATACGTGTAAAGTGTTAAAAAGTCAGAACAGATTATCAAAAGTGTCTGAAATACTGTGATGACAGTTGCATACAAATATGCAAAATAAAGTTGACAATAGAGTTTTTATAATGGTTTATATGTTTATAAGCGACTCATACATTCATTGTGATTTGTATTTGTAAGTATTATTTTCCTGATCGTTACATAGGTTTACAAGGGTCACGATCTAGGATCTATGATTACAAGTATTTGTGTTATAGAGAATGTTAAATCAGTCTCTTTCTAATAGTATTTTTGGTATTTGTTTTATATAATTTGTGTGTCTCTAACCTCTATTTTGTGAGGGGGAAACTGCCTATTTATACCCGTTTTACTTAAGGTAATGAGTGGTTTTTGCAAGTCGTCTGGTGACGTGAAGATTCTTCATATCTTCCCATTCATTGAAGACTTCTATGTATATCCTTAAATTAAATTACCAAATTAACTCATGCACCAAATTCATTCTTGAGGCGGTTTGAGTTTTGACAGCTAATATTCTTATTATCTTTGGGTGCTGTGTCAAATTCTGGTTAGTGAAGAGATCTGTTAAATCATGATTGGTGAAGATGATGTCAGCATGTGTCAACTCTTATTTTTAGGCATAACAAGGTGTAAACGTGTAGAAAGAATAAGTAAATTTGAGTTGAAATGTATTATCAAAAATTTAAAATATTATAGGTGATGGAGAAATCAGATATCCAACTAACTAAGGATACGAATTGGAATCCTTTAAATCCATATTTTCTAAAGAAAATAATAATTATATTAAAATTAAAAATTGATTAGGTAAAATATTATAATTTTGGCAAGACTGAGTAAAACTTTTCCAAAGCAAGTAAATATGGAAAGTGTGGAATTAGTTCCTCTTTAAAGTTGTTGGCGTGGGCCGCGTGGCCTCTATTGAACCATCTGGGATCCTTCTCACTTCGTTCTTTCCGCCTTCGTAACAATAATACTACTCATACGACAATAAGACTGAGTGGAGTAATATATTTACGTTGCATCACGCATATTTGTGATTGTAAAGTTCAACATGAACAACTCTTCTTCGCGCACGTTAGAGATCAAAGTCTTGTCAGCGGAAGACCTACGAATCGGTGGCAGATCTGTAAAAAAGAATGCTTTTGCGATTGTCAAGGTCGATCCTTGGAACTATCGGGGGACAAAAGTCGATCCTCTTGGAGGAAGTTATCCTAAATGGGACGAAATTCTTGAGATCATTTTGCCTGTGGGTGCCACTTCTCTAACCCTGGAAGTACAATGCAAGACTTCTTCAGGTGATAGGCTAATAGGGACCGGAAATTTACCACTTTCCGATATTATTGAAGACTATACTCCAGAGCATTATTTGCGATTCTTGAGTTATATTCTAAAAGATACAAAAGGGAAGAGGAATGGAATTATTAATCTTTCCGTGAGAGTTAAAATGCCAAAACAGGTGCGTTCTTCGCTAGGAAAACCCAAGGTGCCTGATTATGCAGCGTGTTCATCCAATGCGGTGTTGAAGGTGGCAGGATACAAGAGTTCTCCGGGGCAAATGATTGAAATCCCTATCGGTGAGAGGAAATTTGAGGGAGCTGTGATTGGGGTTCCAGTTTGGCCACCAAATCATGACTAAATGTTTTTGGTCTAGATAGGAAATTTTTTCAAATACTAGTAAAGATTTTACTTGTTTTTTTTTTTCCTGTGGTATGCTGACTGGGCAACTTCAATTTGAGCATATAATTCCATTGGGGTTTCTTTGAATTTGTTGTAAATACGATAATTGGTTTCCTTTATATTTGTTCGAATTGGTGAACTAATCATGACTTTTTCTGTCTCGCCGCTTATTGCTTATGGTTATGACCAATGTTTTAAAAACCAACCTGAGGTTAAACCTGACAAAAAAGCCGAGTCCAAGGTTGACCAGTTTGACCCATCGATCAAACCGGTGACGTGTCATATAAAAAAAATTCAAAATTTTTGTTTTAGTGCACGTTAGCATGGTGACTGTTTCTGACGCACGTTAGCACACATCGACGTCGACCTCTTTTTCCCTTTTTCCAACTGTTTTCTCACCCAAAATCACCCCGTCACCACCATGGGAACCCCCACCTCTCCTTTCTTTATCCCCTCTCATCACTCATCGATCGTTGGCCATGGCAACTGCGTCAATCGACTTTCATTTGCCGATTTTCGACCATTTCGAGTAATTCTAACTACCACCACCCTTAGACTCACCAGCTACTCCCCTACAAAACCCCCCAAAATTCCCAAGCCATTCCACCCACCTAATTGCTAGCAATTAGAAGCTGGGTTTCACCGTTTCTTTGCCAAATTCCAATGATTTCGACGACTAAAACTTAATCGAAAACCACCTCCCAACTCACCGTGATCAACCCTTCAAAACCCCTTAACCCTGATTCATGTTTGCCCACTGAACACTAGCCGAAAGTCACCTTGAATCTGAATTTTGATTCACCCAGTTTCCCCCAAAATCGGTTGGACTAGCGGTTTGCTATAGCAACCCCGACCCAACCGCAGGTCATACCGGGTGAACTAAAGCCCTCAATTTTAGGGCCGACGTAGCCGGTTCCTGTTTGAATCGATTAAACCGGTCGGGTTTTAAAACAATGGTTATGACCTTATGGTTTCACCTTTGGCAGAGATTGTTTTGAGTTGTATATAACTTGGCATTTTTAAAAGAATAAGATAAAAAGTGGAATCATGTAAAGGATTTGTTATTGTACGCTAGTGAGGCTTGGACAAAAATTAAGTAGACATTAGGCATTAGTTTGAGGATTTCAACGAGGAGATTATTGGAAAAAATAGTACGCTAGTAGTCAGGATTGTAAATGATGTTTTTACTTTTTGTATATGCTGTATTTTTTTTGTTCCTGGGAATGTCCAGGATGCTTAAACTTTTGTAGAGACTCTTTGGGGTCTCATTCTTTTTTTCTTAATACTATTTCCATTTACCCAAAAAAAAAAAAAAAAAAAAAAAATAGTGTTAAGACTAGGCTGTGAGGATTTTGACGAGGACAAAAGGTCAAAAACAGTGTTCAGAGAGAGCGAAAATACCAAAGAAGCATTTGTCGTATAATGGCTGAGTAAATGAACTTCGAACATCCAAAATTGAGCAGTGAGGAGGATTCCGCGTTCATCAACAACATCCAATCTCGATGAGAATAAGCGCATCTGAGCACTTGCCTTTTTGTCCGTCATTGCTGATTGCACTATGCCACTGGCTTAGTGGTTGAGCAGTAATCTATTCTTCAACAGGGACGAGCTGTTGTCGTGAGTATGATTGCACTATTTTGATTGTAGGGTCCATCACCAACATCTAATTACATAATGAGATCACACGCATCTCAGCTCTTCTTTTATCATATGCCAACACTTACCGATGAAGATAATAAGCCACACGGAAGCATCCCAACAGGCGCCACTGGTTTAGTGGATGAATGGTACGGTATGGTATGCACTCCTTAAAAAGTGTTCGAATTTCGAACAGCCTTTGAGCTGTGATGATCATCTTGCTCATGTGATGGTAGGGTCCATCACCAAAGTCTGATCAAATTGATGAGAAAAAGCATATCTGAGCTCTCTTTTCTTTTTTCCTCTCTTTTCAAAAAGACTAAAAGTTAATGAAACACTGCAAAGTGCTACTACTGAATTTTGTTTTATCGCATACAATATGTGAAGATACAATAACGCACATAAATAGTTGAGACACTGCAGAAGTGCTACTACTGAATTTTTGTTTTATCGTATACAATTACAATATATTAAGATACAATACACCACGCACATAAATACAAGAGGAAAATAACAGTATTTACAATGAATACAAAATTATACCATTTTCTCATAACCTAGCATACCAACTAAGATATATAATCAATATACATACAACACTTAGAAGTAGTAGAACAAAGCAACACCTGCTAATAGGCTGAAACTACACAACTTTGCAATAAGGCTGCCTCCAGGACTCGAGGTCATGGTTCCCAACAAGATACCACATGCATTAACGCATAATAGACAGCCATCAAAGAAGGGCTCTATTCACAGTCAAATGTAAAACCTGAGTTACTATACCTCTTCGCTGCCTCTTTGGTTGCCAGTTTTCAGAATGTTGAACTTGCAAAGAGGACAGGTTGCATTAATGTATAGCCACTTGTCTACACAAGCACAATGGAAATGGTGACAGCAGGGAAGCTCACGCAGTTCAGTTTCATCATCATAGGCAGAAAGGCAGATGCAACATTCCTATCATTTACACAAAATATTTGCGTAAAAAATATGGTAAAAATATCCACCCAATGGCATGAATATCATTCATTAACACCAAAACTTAAAAGGGTATCTGATGAGACCCTTAGTGTGCTGGTCTATTGTACGAAACATAAGGTTGTGAAGTAGGGGATTTTGGTGATGTTGGCAGGAAACTTCCATGGGTTTAGGCTAGGACAGGTGGCGAATGAGGGTTGGGACAGCAAAAGAATTCAGTTAGGGAGAGAGAGAGAGAGAGCTGGAGGATAAAAAGAGAGGGAGAGAGCAGATTAGAGGAGAGAAGAATATAGGGAAATTTGGGAGGAGCTCACCCTCAAAGTTAGCAATTAGGGAGGAGCTGGCCCTCAAAGTCCAGCGTTGTTTTTCCTTTCATATTTTGATTTTGTCCTTTTGGGTTAATGTGCTGGGTATATTTTGTTGTGTGCTGCCATTGTTATCAGTTTGTTGAGCATCCCAAAATGACAGTGTCTGCTGCCAACAATTATATCAAATAGCACTTATTTATATTTCAATCTGGAACCTTAAAGAAAATAAGAGTTGTGTGCAATTATTGGTTTTGAGTTGCCAAGCTGCTGCTAGAGCCATAGGCACAAATACCATGCTTTGCAAAACCAAGAAGGTAAGATATTTCCATAAACATTTTAAAATCTTTGAAAAAACTATCAAACAATATATAACTGCACCAAGTTACTTACAGCATCCTCATGGGAAAGAGCATGTTCTGTGGGTGTATCAGTGTCACACTCGATCATTATTCCACCAAAAGATTCTTGAATTTCACCATTAACTTTCTGAAAATCGCCTAATCTCCGGAATTTATACTTTGGCAATCGATCAACCTCTTCTTCTGTGGCTCCTTCCTGTTTTCAGGTAGAATGTAGACAAATTCAAGTAGGGATATTCAACAATGGGGAACAGATGAGGTCAATAGAACTTAATAGAACAATTCCCAATAGGCAAACAAATGAGGAGAATCCAAAAAATCAACCAGCATAGCAATTAAAAGAGAGGACTATTATTTTAAGTACGTGCCACACCCATGATTCGACTTACCAAATGGCCTTAATTAAGCACACAATTGCCCAATGCTCCAAGCCAATGGCAATATCGTAAGAAGGTGTAATCTGAAATCATTCATGCAAAAATATATGCTTCCCAACCAAAAACATGCCAAGTTCTAAAATTAATTAAGGTGATCACTACTTCAAATTAAACAAATACATCAATGTAAACATGCAATTAGTATTCCAAGAACAAGCACCTCTTTCTTAATCAGGCAATGAAATGTTCAAATAGACACATAAAACAGTAAAATATGCACAGTCATGAATCTGGGGCAGTATAATATATTAATATATTAGCTCATGAAGCACAGATTCAGCCACTCTTTAACAGGAAAATTTGAACTCAAAAAAACAATTATAGAACTCTTAAAAATTTTCAAAGTGAATTACCCGCTCTGTCAAGGCATATAGTATTCCAAGTATACAAGGAAGACAGCAACAAACAGCAATACCAATTAGACATGCCACCGCAACACAGAGCATAACAAAGACTACATCAAACGCAAGGAATATTACACAAAGCCTGCAAAACAAACCGATCTGATTAGTAGCGTAAATCAATAATTAAATAAAAAGAGCTCAAAAATCAAAACACTTAAAGAATATTCTATTAAAGCTAACCAATAAAGCTGCGGCGAATCACGTGTCAAAGATTCAGCACTAGCAGTTATCCAGTAAAACCCAATGATCCACCATAAAAATGAAAACATAGTATTTGCAGACTCCAAATTCTTTGCAACACTGCAGCCATACAAATAAAAAGACAATTTAACAAAGCCTTGCTAATTAAAATACAATGAATTAATTAATTAATGAAAGAAAACAATTAAAAAGAAAAAGAAAAGAAAACTTGTCAGTTATACCTGGTTCCATCCTCAGTGTGAAGGTGGTCTTGTTCGTAATCTTCAGAATCAGCACCCTCACTACTGGACCCAGAAACCGAATCACTAAAAACCAAATCTTCCCCTTCACGCCTTCTTTTACATTCTAAAAACACGCAAAAAACGTGAAACATACATTGCAAAGCATAGCCAGCAATCCACAACCTTAGAGGCACTTTAGGATTTTCGTTTATACCCAAACCCAATACCGCAACAGCAATTAATACAAATGCTAAATTCCACATAACGTCAAGAACTAAGATGGGCTTCGAGTAGGCCCAGTCGCTTTGACGCTCTTCCAGCTGTTCCGCTGCCGTTTCTCTGACGCGCACAGACGGCTCTCGCAGCATCATGCGACGCCCGCTAGCGCGTCTGAGGAGACGCGCGGCGACGCCGCGCAGAGGGGGAGGCGGACGACGGAGGAGGCCGCGGCTTCGGATGAGGTGGTCGGGAATTGAGTGGGTTAAAAATGGTGTGGTGTCGAGGTTATCGTGTGGAAGAGTTGGGGAGTGCATATTGTGAACAGAAAGATAGAAATTGGATTAGGGTTTAGAGAAGAAAATGAATTGGTTTGAAAATTGGTGGGAGGAGAAGAGATGAGACGAAGAGGAAGAGGATGGTATATAATTCAATTAGACGCAGAAAATAACAAATAAAGAGGGTTATTTTCGGGGTCATTTATGTTTTTTCCCGGGACCAACTTTACCCACCTCATGCTCTTTTTAATATACCTTCTACTCGCGCTTGCTTGTTAACCCACTATAATATTTTACTCTCACAGACTTCTTTCCCTTTACCTTTTTTTTTTTTATAAAATAACAAACTTATATATATAATTTATAAAAGCAATTTTATTTTCATATTTCTAAGGCAAATGCTAACCAATTTTGTATGAAACATTAATATGTTATAATTTTTTAATAATTTATATCATATTTTAAATAAATTATTAATTATCCCTGTCAAAAAAAATTAAAAAAAAAACAATCACTGGATGATCTAATGATAAAACAGCAAATAAGAATATGAATTTATATGGTATTTCGAGTTTAAGTCCCCATAGCCCCTAATAGGGGTGATATCTAAAGCTTATACCTGACGGTAATTATAAGGTTTCAAGAGAATAGTTGAGATGTGCGCAAACTGACTCGGACAGTCTCTATCATGAAAAAAAAAAAAAAATAGGATTTATTTATATGTTATTAGAAAATATCAAGTATTTTATCAAAAAATTCGATACTTTTATAAAGATTTTTACATGTTTTTTGGTATTGTTATGGGGATTTTTATCAACTACATAATATAATTTATTAATAAAGGTATATATATTAAATATAAAAAGGATTGTGAAAGGAAGTAAATCTCTTAAAATATTAGTATCAAGGATGCGTTTGGTTCAGGGAATGTTAACGGCCAAACCCATCAATTTGGCATCTAGCTAGATTTGCTCTCGATATGGCCAAAAATGGCCATATCGGGGCCTCTTGGTCACGGTGAGCTTCTCATGACGAGTCCAAGTGACTTCCGACAACTTTTTACGACAGTCAACGGTGGTTCAACTGGTGGCAGGAGGTGGGTAGGGGTGGTGGCTTGGGTAAACTAAAATTTGTTTTGATTTTAAAAGTAATTTTGTCAAAAAAGTTAATTAATTGAGGTGAAATGGTAAAAGCAAGATTCATGTAAATAAATTTAAAAATAAGGGCATTATTGTCCTAAAAATATATTAATAAAGGATAAAATTATAACAAAAAAAAAAATTATCCAAGTAATCTTACAATACCTAAGAAAATGAAGGTAATCAGATTACCTCTGATATTATCAACAGTAACTACTATTGATATTTAAAGATTATCGATATTTTATATTATTTTGACAACTAAATATAATAATCAAATAATATAAGTGATTTAACCCAATAATCTTACATGACCCGCAGCCAAGCCCCCTATTAGTAAACTAGTATTATTTCTAATTTTGGAACGTGATGAGACGCGCAACTTGGGAGCGAGTATATAAGATAGGCTAGGTGAGTAAGTAATTAGAGAACAAAGAGTGAATGGGTGTGAACGGGGGTGACAGGAACAGGAGGGTTAATATCAAATATCCAAATAACAAAATGCCAAAACATAATTTAAAATTTTGAAAACAATTATGTACGGCAACAACAGGTTACCCAATTGGATGTAATGCCGAAAATCGACAACTGTATTCGAATTGACCCGACTCATTCCCGCCAAGTTGCTTCAAAACTAAGGCCTTTATGTGAATTCACTTCTCTGAGACACACGGACCCACATTTTTGGATATTACTCTCCCTGATTTTTTCTTTTCTTAACCCTCGAGTAAAAAGTAGCGGTTATGTTCA